TTTTGATCAACAACATTATATAAAAAAAAACACATACACATTAAGAATGATATTTAAAATACTTATAAATGTAGTAAAGTATGTTCTGTCAAAAAGAAAACATTGAATTTCAATGTAAAAACATCATCATGAAATTATTTTTAACGTAGCCATTATGGTTTTAGTCTGAAAGTCATTTCAATCCCAGTTAGATAGTGTTATTAATAGTTTCTTATCAATTATTTGTTATCTCTTATCAGTTATCCAGGTATTATCCAGTTATCCTTATCACCATCTACGCTTATCACTATTTTCTCCCCTCCAATCTTATCCATATGTATCCGTACCCACATCTACTATAATATATAGTGTTATTATTGCTAAAATAGTCAAATGTTTGTTTGTACTAATAGTGAAATTAAAAATAGACTCGCGTTGGTAATTTCACAATAATTAACCGAAGTTAAATGTAGATAAATAACATAATATAGAAAAGCTGTTAACACAAGCGCTCCGCCCACATTGTAGGAATGCATTAATTTTAGTTCAAGGAGTCAGTATTAAATTTGACACGTGCGCTGGATACAACAAACAATGCCATAAGACCTTACACGTGTATGAAATTATTAATTTTTCTGGTAAATATCGCAATAAACCCGTTGTTTACACACATTTTGTTTTGTCCGAAATCATATTGTTCAGCTAGATCGAATGAAACACAAACAGACTATTGTATTTTATAATTTTAAGACTCTAGCTGGAAACTATGACATCTGTCAATACTCAATAGCTAAGAAAAAAATAATTGTAATACTATAATAATATCATTCAATCAATTTTGTGTGAACTATGTTGCTGTGATTAACTCTAGGTATAGTTATTTTTTTCTTTTCTTTTATTTAAACAACAATTATTAACATTATCAAAAAATGTTAATTAAACCGGGAGATTAGTACCATCTGCTAAAAATAATGTGCAGCTGAAAATCGGCTTAAACTTTTAGAGTGATTAATGTTCAAAAAGTGTAATTATATTATTCAAATCTGGCTAGTGACCGTTCAAAAATTTCAGTACATCATTCTAGATTAAAAAGTTTTATAAAACATGCAAATCGCATCACTATTCACATTTTAAAAGTTTATAAAACTAAAGGTAAATATTTGGAAATTAATAATAAAAAAATAATAAAACGCAAAAAAAAACTGTTTTCAGACCTAAACAATCCAAAAATCGTTTCTCTCCTCAAAACTGAAAAAATGTAAAAATTTTGGACCTAACCTGGATAGACTAAAAAAAAAAGTGGCTGGTGTTTATAACATGAATAAAGATAGTATAGTGTTTTGAAAGGAAAGGGCTGATCAATCCTTTAAATTTAAACGTTTAAAACATATTTCCAAGACATTAAATTTCTGGCCAGAAAATGACTATAAATTGTGTTTAATATATTAAACAGGTATTTATATATATATTTCATAAAAATTCAAAAATTATACTTATATACATATATATATTTCATAAAAATTCAAAATTTATATATATATATATATATATATATACAATTTGGTGAAAAGCGAGCATAAGTTAAAACTGCTTAACAAAAAATGCCCGAGCTTCGTGAGTGGGTTTGATTAAATTTTTAAAATGTTAGTTGAAGTGTATAATCTTGTATTGCCATCAGCTTGCACGAGGTCTCGTCTCGATCAAAAAATGTGGCAAACAAAATGTGTACAACCAAGTTTATATTCTGCGTATCGCGTGTTTATCTTTGGTACGTCGTAAATCAAGTATAGTAATTTTTCAAAAGCAGCTACCCAAAATAATAGGCACAATAAATCAAATTTTCTCGCCATCATCACGAGTAGAATGCCAACCGTGTGGTAGAGAACTCTCGGAGATAACGAGTAGCTTCATATTAACAAGCGAGTAGCCTCAAATTTGTGGATTTTTATATATTGTCCTGGAAAACTTTTGGCGTCTTCCTGTTCAAGGAGAAACATAATATATGAATATGTTTAATGGCGCACTCGATTACGCTTAATCTTAACATTTCACACGATTAACCCGATTGTTTAAAATAAGCATGAGGGGAAGTGATAAGAGATAAGGAGAGGCATGTAGTGATAAGAAGGGGTGATAAGAGAGCACTTAAAACGTAATAGGTGGGGCGGATTTCTTAACCATGCTGAAAAATATTATGCAAATTTTGAATTGACCTCCAGTTATAAAACAAATGTAATTGTTATGTTGTTTTTATAAAAACATTTAGAATAAAGATATGTACTTCTTTCATCGGTTCAGAAAAATAAAAATGTAAGTATGTTGAAAACGTTTTAATTTTTGCTGTTAATACAGCTTGGTAGATCAGTGGTAGGGGTTTGTTCAACCGATGTATTGTGTTTTTTTTATAAACCGACGTTTGTTGTTAATTCCGAAATTCCACCGTGGCACACTAATTTCACGGCTACCAAGTACCATTATTGTTATTATTATTAGCCATTGTAATCTGATTAAAGCCCGGCTTGTGCGTTCCGAGTGCTCTCTAATAAATCATGTTGGTCAATTGTAATAATCCTGTGTACACGTGGCACTCTTGTGTCTATAAACAAATAATTACTGCGCCGTGTATGACAATTCGGTGATAGATAATGATATTATTATAATGGAGAATATACATTAAACGTGAAATCGACGGGTAAGTTTTAAATGTTTTAGTATTATGATTTTTTAATTATAATCGCCGGTTAGGCAAATGGTATTTTGTTTTTCCATCGTTTGGTTATGTGCGTTTTACAAAATATTATGTACCTACCTAATGCATTCATTAGAGTCTGCGGGAAAATGTTTTTCCTAGAATTTTCCTCGACCCCGGTCTGGTTATTTTACCATGCAAATACCAGCAATAAAATCAATAGGGTTTCTACCTCGGTTTCCGCCTCCGCTTTGGTTAAAAAAAAAAAAAAATCCCTGCACGTCAAAACACTCTCCTTAAAATCACAGAGTTTAATAATTGAGGAGGTCGGAGCACTCGAGAGCGAATTCTCTGCGATGAATAATTATGTTCCTCGCACAAAAGAGGCCTACAATATTATAATGAATAAACAACTATTATGTTATGGAATTGTTTTGGGATCAATAAAAAAAAACAGCTCCTACGACGGTACTGCTAATTATGATTGATCTGTCCACGCACACCGTCAGAATAATATCAAAGCTGGTGCGGTGTACCTGTACAGTAGGTACCTAGGGACCTGAGAATATTATATTATTGCAACAATACAAAACTACACGAATGGGATTGTCAGCAGCAGCTCGTAATGTCTTACAAGGCAATAACACGTTTCAAAATCGTAGAGGTGCAAACACAGCGCAAAAGTCAAAGTCTGACACGTGGCTACATTTGGGTTTAGAGTTTTGCCCCAGCAATCTATAACTTGTCCATGTCTTCTTGTGGCAATTCGTAGTCGGGTTCAAACGCCTGATCAGCTGATTTTCCGTCTTTATCATCCATCTCTTATCAGTTATCCAGTAATGTCCCTTATCACCAATCCCTCCGCTGAAATTCCTCCCCCCATCTCTAATATTCCCTTCCCTTCCAAGACTTATAATATTATAGTGTTCACCTGAAAGCTTATTTATCTGAAAATAATATATAATTTAAAGCTAATTATTTTTTTTGTTTGCTAAATTGGTAATTTAAGGTTTCTCTTGGTCGCCACTCTTGGAACGCCTTCAGTTTTGTTTTAATCGTGCATATAAATCACGTGACGTGTATTTAATATATTATTTAAATCCGTTCGTATCGCTAAAGTTTTGGCATAACGTTGTTTTAATCACTTTACGAACGACGGCAAGGCCACCATAACAATATATTGTTATGTACCTAGTTAAAAAGTTTGACTAATTATAAAGTGCTTTATGCATTTTTTGTGTTAAATTTACAGAGCTTTATACGTTGTTAGGTATTCTTCTTTTGGCTATTAATTGGAATCAGAAAAAAAAGTTATTTTTAAACAAACATACATTCTACCGTTGTTGCTTATTATACATACAATGAAAAAAAATGAATTAGATACATTTTTAAATAGATATTTTAAATTATGTTAAATGCTTAATCCTAATCATAAAAATATATATTCTGTAAGCAGCCAAAACATTTTTTTTAAATATTATTTTAGTAAATGATTAGTAATAAAAGATAATCCGGCCCAACGGAAAATTATTCTTGCATAATTATTATAATATATATATATATATACATATTGTATTAGGGTGAATTTTTGCCATAAAAGTTAATATATTACATTTTATGAAAAGGACACAGTAGATCAAAATATTTTTAAACCTGGATTATATGTTTATTAGGGCCATTACACAGTATTATACCGGGAACCCTTAAGGTTAGATTATTATATACCTACCTAGTAAATATCAATTAATATTCATTAATAGCTTTAGGTAAATATTATCATTTAAATTATTTATTATTATAATTTTTAATTGAGAAATATATAATTTATGTATGTCTGTTTTGGAATTTAAACAAGTATTAACAACTTAGCTGATGGTATTTTATTTAAAGAAAATTCCCAACAAATTTGAAACTAATTAGGCTATTCTATTTAAAACAACTATAGTGTGCGGTAATTTTAAGTTGAAAAAGTTTTTAAAATTTTAAAGAAGGAGTGAACTTACTTAAATTTTTCAACTACGATTTCTGATCTTAATAGACTAGCTACAAGGAGAAATCGGTCCAGACACAATATAAACACATTGTTGTAAAAACAATACCTTGTCAGCCTGCATCAGAGCATATTATAAAATGTTATGGGTACAAAACAAACCCGTCACATTTATTCAAAATCAAATTATATATCTTGAAGATGTTAGAAAAAACTTAACGGGGTGAACACAATTAACTAATTGATCTAGCTAGTTTCTTTAAAAATGGATAGTCGATTATATATTTTTTTATATTTGTATAATTGTTACAATATAAGTTTTCAAAAATTATTCGAGCTCCGATAAAAAATACAAAAATGTATACAAATTCGTCCAATATTTCAAATAACATAAACAAAAATAAAAACTAATAAAAAATTGCAAATACTGAATAAAAAACAAGCGTACGGCCTTAAAAGAATCACTTGGTGTATAAATGTTTTATCGGATTGTTACACACCAATTAGTTCTCGATTTATTATTAAACGTTAAAATTCTATACTTGTTCTAATATCACTTTTATTTCACGAGAAGTAAAAAAAAAAAAAAAAAACAATAACAATAACAAAATAATACAATTATTAAAGTTGGGTGACTAGAGATTAAGTAATAGGCCTTGTGAACGGACAGAGATTAGTGGACAGATCGGTTTCTCGAGGTCGATCCGAAGACAATAACGGGTTATAAAAAATAAAAAAAATAAATAGAGGAACATTGTTTTATGTTAATTTCGGTTCAGAGATCTAATTTTTGCATGGTGTCCACACTAAACAGCAATCCGAAATCAAATGTTTCTTGCTGGTGCGTCTTCTTCCAATGGGCGGCCAAACGACTTTTCTTACGGAATTTCTTAAAGCACATGTTGCACGTGAAATCGGGTTTCAGGTGAATGGCCGTGTGCAGTTCGTAATGACTTTTACGGTAAAACTTTTTGTGACAAGTTTCACACTCGTACCTGAAAACGGACAAAAATTAGCAAGACTTATGGAAATTATAATATTTTATATATTTTTTATCTACAAAAAATGTGTCGTCTCACGTACCGATAGATATTGTCGTGTTTCTCGGCAATGTGATACCTTAGAGCAACACGGTTATAAAACGTTTGAGTGCACGGTTCTCGCGGGCAGCTCACTCTGGCCGATTGTTTTTTTCCATCGTCCTGTTAAAAAAAAAAAAAAACAATTAATTAAATGACGATATTCAACCGAAAGTGTCAACAAATTGACTATCGGTCTATTGTGTAACCACCTTGGGGTGCGATTGCATATGAATGTGCAACATGACGTCGCTGTCGAACCTATCCGGACACTGTCGACATTTGAAACGGGGCAAACGCTTCGGCCCGTGTACTCTGGTGATGTGTTTTTGTAAATAATTGTGAAAACGAAACAATTTGCCGCATTCCGAGCAAACGACACCGCTAAAAAAAATGTCAAGCAAATCAAAAAACACATTTTATATAAGAAAAAAAAAAAATTTTGCCTTTGCCTTGACAATGTGTTTTACCTCGCTCTGGTCTCGTGCAATCGTTTGACGTGCCTGTTCAACAACTGAGCCGTCGAAAACGCTTTACCGCATCCTATGGCCGAACATTTAAACATCGCCAATGGATGTTCCTGTTTTCTGTGCACATGCAACGATCTTTTTTGTTTGAACACGGATTTACATACGTCGCAGTGAAATCCTAATGTATCCTGAAAAAGAGGCAAAAATAAAAATAAAGTACATAACATTTTCGATATAACGTTCTTACTTTATCGGGATGGACTTTCATGTGGTACGTCAAATACTGCTGAGTGGAAAACCGTTTGTTACACACCGAACAGCTGTATTCGGCGTCTTGGTGAGTCTTGTAGTGGAAATTCAATTTTCCCTTGGTAGCGAATCGTTTGTCGCAAACGTTGCAGTTGAACGAGTATTCACCTTAAAATGGGGACAAAAAAAAAAAAAAAATGAATGTAAACATATTGTTATTAAAACTAAATACCATTATGATTATTTACACTGAACCGACCTGTATGTTTTATCGAATGCACGTCTCTGGTACTTTTTTGCGCGAAATGTTGATCGCAATAAAAACATTTGTACGGTTTGATATTTTCATGGATCATCATGTGAACGCGAAGATTGCTTTTTTTATAAAATGTCTTGTCGCAAAAATCTGTAAAAAAACCGACAATTTTTTCGTTTATTGGAACTATAAATTTTAGTAGGGAGAAAAAAAAATTGCATATACTAGATACGATTTCTTAAATTTCATATATATCATTAAAATGTAAATATATATATATCTCATATTATTAATTAGTAGTTGGTGAATTGTATACCACAAGTTAAATGTTGGTTTTGAGATTTCGTCTTGGGTTGATGTGACTGATGTGTTGTCAAATGTGATTCCAATTCAGCGGACGAATTAAATTGGCTCTCGCACTTGTCGCAAGCAAATGACATTTCTCCGACTAAACGACAATGTACAATGATTAATATTTAATTTTGGTATAAACTTTACTTCTAGCCAAGTACTTACCGAAATTACTCAAATCGTGACGATAAGAAGAATTTGAATTTATGTCCTCAAGTAAGTCGGATTCGTCTTTTCTGTACAACTTTATAATTGGAGTTTGGGGGCCTTTCTCGTCCTGTGTACAAAAAAATAAAATTATTATACTACAAAAAACAACCAACAAATACATTAAGTCAGTATTTTTACTCGAGTACCATTTGCACGTCATGATCCAAAAGATAATTAGACTCCTGATACACATTCCATACGTCGGACGACGGACTGCCGTAGTCACCAAAGGAAGGAGCGACAAAACCTGTAGGCGACGGTTGATCGTCTATTTCGAATCCGTCTTTTGACGTGCTGTCTTGTATCGGTCTCAGGCCGACGCTCCACAATATCGGACTGACGGGATTGCGAAAACCCAAAACGGAATCAATCTTTTCTTTTATCAAAGGAGTTATGTAATCTGGAGCGTTGAGTTCGAGGTCTATTGCGTTGGGTGTCAATGGCGGTTCGATCACGTTGCCGAGAGATGCCAAGTCCTCGGCTTTCCATTCGGTACAGACGTTTAGTAACCATTTCTATAATTAAAAATAATATTTTTGTAAAAAAATTGTTGGAATTAATTCAATCATTTGTTAAACTATGTAATGCGAGCATTTTAACTTGTGAAACGGTATCAAAACGTTTACATAGTTGTTAGTAATTACATTTTTTTATAAAAAACCAAATCAATTTAAAGTTTAAACCGCTTCATACAAACATAGTAAATTATTTTTATAGGAACGTTAATGATCCAAAATTGTTCTGTACTTAAAATGTTTATCACCAATCGTACGATCTATTACTAGCAATAAAACGTCCAACCTAATCGTTACATAGAAAAATAAAAGATTTTTACACTGTTTCATGTCAGTCTGTTAGTTTATAACACAATCATACCTTTAATTCATCAATAGAAGTCTGTATTCTTCTCAAGAATTGTTCGTGATGGGCATTAATTTTGATTGCTGAATGCATGAAAGTAAAGGAATCCAATACGCCGACTTCGGTCATCTGAAAAATAAAATAAATGCAAATAATATTATTTTCAAGCATCAAAGTTACAATATCAACTTGTTTGTTAAGTAAAACAAAAGTTAATGTTACATCTTAAGTTTTAACTTAAAGAAATCGCTAATGGCCGAGTTTACGAAATGTTAATACTTACGACGTTTAATAGCTTATTGAACAAATCCAACAGGTCAGAAATCACATCTACATACATCTTGGCAAATAAAAATGTTACTGAAGTGTAAAGTATAACTCGATCAAAATTCCATTTTATTAAATTATTATAATATTCTAATCGATTGATATTAATTACTATCCAGGTAATTAGAACTACAATTTATACTTAATATAAAATAAATTAAACTTAATAAGTTAATACGGCAAGTTTAACAGGATTTTTAAACACATAATTGAAGTTTCGCAGTCTGAAACGAGTAAAAAATGAAATCTAAACAATAATACTAAAATGATAACACCTATCAGTTATCATCGCAAGCCGTTACATGATAAGGACTGTGATTTTAACATAAAAAATTAGCGTTACGCGCTGACCGCTGTAGATTACACATATTATTATTTGTCATGTGAATATTGTACTTTAAGGTATTGTGGGTTAATACTAATAAGTTAATATAGGTACTTCATTACTAAAAATAGTTTATTTAAAAAAATGTATTTTCAAAACTATTAGTATTTACTTAGTCTATACAAGTTCACGAATCCCAAAATAATTTTGGGGGGAAAAAATATATTTATCGGCTTAATTCATAAATTACACTTATGAGTTTAATACAATTTCTATTATAAATAACAATAGATTATCAAAATACATTAATAATAAAACGGAAAAAACATAGTGTACTAAGTTAATATTTTAAATGTTCTTTTTCGTTGATTTTAAACGGCAATTTTTCTGTATAATATCTGACCAATCGATGGATTTGAGTAATCCGTCTTCAATTTTAAAAATTCAAAGTAAGCAATACCTTTATACTTTTCGTTGTTTGTGTACTTGCAAGTTGCAATAGTTTTTATTTTCAACTAGAATATGTTCATCAATGATTTTAACAACTGCGCAAAATTGTACTTATTTTTTAATTAATTGAACTCCACTTTAGAATTTGTTGGTTTTTTTTTCTTCTGTACTCTCTCATCCTTTTAAACCGTAGGGGAAAATATCACTGGGATAATGTACTTATCACCAAGAAACGCGGCGGCCACCTTCTTAAGGCTACACCACTATATCCATTACATTATTATTTTATAAAATGTGAATATTATAACTTTTTTTTGAAGAAGAAGAATATTTGAATTTTTCATTGGTGAATTAATTGTATAAAACAATGTTCACATATAAAGTTATTATATATGTCTTATGTTAATAAAATAGTTGAATAATGTATATTACCTTATGACATCTATAACTAGGTATATAAATATTACATTTATTAATACATAGAAATACCTAATATACAGTTTGTGGTGATTTTTTTGTCAAAATTCACATGGATTTATTTATATAGTAGGTATAAATTATTAGTGAGTGCTACTTAATAAATATTATAGACAAAGTTAAAATTTACAAATGCCAAATAAATTGACCGATTTTACAAATTATATAATAGGTACGTTGTTTTAAAAAAAAACTATGAAATTGAATAGTGAATACCTTAAATTATTATTCTTAAACCGTTTTATGATTTTTTAATAATTATAAAAAAAAAGTTACATCATAAAGATAAAAGTTGTCTATTTGTCGAGCCATCGACCACTCTCTCAGATTTTCTATTGGCAATTATATTTTGCTTGTGGTCGTTACATGAAAAGAAACAATTAATTATTTTGTTTGACCGTTTAAAAATTTGTACTTATCACCGACGAATATGAATCTAATAGGTTTATGATGAGTAATAACACCGAGAAATAGTATAATATTTTAATATGGCATAATTATAATATTATGCATTTGTATGAAACCGTTTTTGCCTTATTAGGCGCTAACGTCCACGAGAAGTGAAATTAACCGACCTTATCTCCTAAGGCCGTTCGTTAACCTAACCTAACAACGTTAATGAACATATTTATTAGCTGTCTCCATATTATTATTTATCACACTGTTACAGCAATAATTTTACATTATATCATTTTGCAATTCGAACCGAGAGAGAATTAAATGAATTTTATTATAAATTAATACAATTTTGGTACTTAACACAATTAATTGTCAGTTAACATTTAAGGTTAAACTGTTATAGACAGACATTCGACGTCAAATCGCACCCACCTTTATTTTATACTAAATAAATAATTGGATACAATATAGGTAATTGTGGTCAATAATATTAGTTATTAATATTACATGTTGAACTGTCCATTGGGTCGACCGGAAGTTATTATATATATATATATATATTATGTTTAGATTATACGTTTGTTGTATTTTTCCTGTGCGGGAAAACATGGGTTCTAAATATCTGAATAATCTGAACGATACACCTAATATTATGAAAAATATATTTCATTATTATACAATATACTTGTAATTTATAAAATATTACGAGTCGGGTTAGGTAATGATAGAAATTATTCACTCGACGTGGAATGGGAAAATGCAAATTATAATATAGTGTATTTTTAATAATATAACTTTTAGTTTTTCGTGGGGAAATAAAACACCTGTGGAGAAATTCAATCGAGATATAATATTCATCAATAAAATATATGCAATGCGGGCAATGTAATATTTATATAATAACGTTATGGTTTTTTTTTTAAAAAACCACATTATAATACATTTTTCGCATTAAATTAATATATTTTTCGTACATTGTACACCGTTTTCGAACAAATAAACAAACTATAGTAATCAAACACTGTGTTTAATTATTATTAAATCTCTAAGTAAAAAATTATAGTGTTAACATTCATGTTTAATTTCCAGACAACCGCCGATGATTCATTGTGCCACAAACAAAATGAAAAATCATGTTTTTAAGAACGTTAAGTTAGGTTATTTAGCTGGAATACAAATTATAGAATTTTGCTCCTTATACTTGTCCTACGTAGCGGGCTTAAGGCGGTATGTAAAAAAATAGTTTACATTTTGCCAAAGGGGCACTTTTCTAAATGGATTTTCTTTAGTTAAATTTATCTGTCCATGATCGATGATGTTATTCAATAACGCTGCATAATGAAGAACAGCAAAACCTTGAACTGCGGCTTAAGAAAAATAATTCTACAGCCACATAGCCCATTATATTACTATAGTATATTTAAATGAATCGTTTGTTTAGTTATCTAATCGATATAGCCTAAGAACATTGTTTGCTGTTGACATGAAACGCAATCAAATCTCGTTGTAGTGTTTTGTCTTCAACAAATAAAGGCCAACAATAATTTTAGTTCATAGTCCCATTAACAAAATATTAAAATATGCTGTAGTTAATAAAACAATATATATATATATATATATTTTTTTTTTTTCAGAGCACTGTCAACTTATAAAATTGAAAAACAAAAACTGGGACCTTGTCTAAGTTCACTATGAAGACATTTTCTCTTTTTCTACAGCTTAGTTCACATTTAGCTGGCTGGTTACCCTTGGGCGATAGGGGACAACAATGAATATTTTTTTTTTTTTTTTTTTAACATCGAAGGTAAAAATCTGTTAGGTGTACACAAATCAATCGGTAACGCTGCACGTTAAACTACAAGTTCCATAATAATTTACAAGCAGGCAATAACAAAAGAGAGGTAACAATAATTATTTGAAAATCTATTGTTTTGCGTTTAGAAAGTCTCTAACAACATTGCATGACACCTCTTTAAATTTAAAACGCAAACAATGTATAATATTATACGGCTTGCATAAACGGGTGTACCTATTATTATTATTAGACGGTCGTTGTTTGGCATTCGACAACAATACAAAAGTCTTGTGTGATTGCCTTAGACGACCTGCGGATAGACTTAATTCTGTCTAATATTTAAATATCCCCGTCAAAAAAAAAAAAAACGGTAGAAATAATTTGAAAAACTTATTTTGTTTTGTGTTTTGTATAACCAATACAATGAAATTGTTTAAGATGTTAACATAGTTTCATTTTATTTTAATGAACACTCTAGTATAATTTCTAGGCTAACCATTATGTACTTTCAAAAAAACCCTTTACCCAAAAATTGTTATTATTTTATTCTACTAAAACGTTTTACCCTCAAAAAATTGCTATAAACGTCTGCGAACATATAGCTATTATAAGTGTATTAATGTAATCCCATAAACGTATAGTTTTGTGATAATTAAATGATTGAAATGTTAGTCTAGTAAAAAACCAAAAAAACAAAATAAGCATAACACAAATGGTTTCAAGCCGTTTCGTGTACTTCTAGTACAGTGTATTATAACGTATTATAGCATCAATTTATTTACACGTACATAACATAATATTACACTAACTATTCACACACATACATAAATATATAACATAAATGTATGCATATAATAGGTGTATTTTTTATATAATAACAATTAATAGTAGCAAGGTAAATAAAAATAGAACACACACGAGTATATAAAGGTACTTGAATAAGTATCGTGTCGTTATACGATTTCACACACGGGGGTAAAATATTCGACAAAAACTCAACATGGTTTTTTTAGTATCATACATATCACATATTAGATATTCTTGTTATAGGTAATTCGGAAACAGACATCCGCAACAACAGACAAAGTCCAACAGTCTTTTCACCGACTCGCAGAACCCCTTTGGCGGACTGGGAATCATCCACGTGATGGTCTCCTCCGAGAAGTGCACGTGCTTCTTGCCATCGTTCTTGCGGTCGGCGAACACCGAATCGTCATCGATGTCCACTACTGTCAGGTCATCCTCGTTGTCGCAGTCCTCTGGAAAACCCCAAAAAAAAAAAAAAAAATAGACGACAAGATAGTAAGTACACGCAGTAGTAGGTAAGAAGTAAAAAACGTATAATCAATAAAGATCAGATGGAAAATATTGCCGGTGCAGCTTTTCGAAAACCCCAACAGTATCTGTTAAGTACACCAAATAGTACTCAAGTTCTATAAATACTATATACCGAGTATGGTTTTCGACGTAATTATAAAACGGACGAGATTAATATTATTCGCTTGAATATTTAAATGCAGTATTGGTTTTTTTTTTCCACCCGAAGCAAGGACATTAGGGATAAACGTCAAGGCGAAGAAACTTTACAAATGATATAAGTAGGTATAATTTTTTAAATATAAATCAGGGTCTTCCGCAACAGGTTCTCAAAAAAAGAAACCCTTTTTGCGATAATCTTTGTGCGCATATTTTTGTTTTTACAATGATGTGGTTGTTTTGTCTTGATATTTAGTCGGATATATTTTAAATGTAATTGATATTTTTCACCAATTTTGTTTAACAATTACTTACCACAATTGACCTACTTTGTGCTACGATTACAGTAAACGATAATTTTATTTTAGCGTTTTTGAGTATTTATTTTTGCAAATCTAGCTGTTATATTATACAACTTTGTTTCAAAGTATTTCGATATTATACTTTGCTGTGCGTTAAAA